TTCAACAACCAGAAGCCGACACTCAGCAAAAAAAAGAAAGAGGCCGGATTTGGATTGTACTGCCAAAGCACAGCAAGGCCGTGCCCGTGGGAAAAAAGAAAGAAAAGAAAACTGTGGGTTTTTTTCATGCCCAGAGTACCCGGGCCGGCACCCCACCGTGCCCCGCCCGGTCGAATGCCCCGGGAAAGCTAGAAAGCCACTGCTTTATGCATTTCAAGTTGATGCAAGCAAGAGGTTATTTTTCCACTGCAACAGAAACAAGAAATAACTATGCTGTGTCCTTCGGGACATCAATTAAAATTGGAAGATACAGAGAAGATTAGCATGGCCCCTGCGCAAGGATGACACACATAAATCGAGAAATGGTCCCAACAACAAAAAAAAAAACTATGCTGTGGATGTAGATTTGACACATCTATGGTCGGAAACATAGAGCAGCGGGCCGTTCGAGTGCAAGGTTGCTCAGTCAGTTGTTCACCCTTGCACTGAGGGCCATTTGTTTTAGTTGCTGTCCGTTTGCTGAGTTGAATATGGTAACAATGGAAAAAGTATGCAGCTCCTGTCTGAGTGCAAGAATTGGAAAAGAAAATAAGAGAAACGAAGCGAAAGAAGTTCAAAGAACAAAAACCGAAAAATGAAAGGGAAGAGGACAAACGAGAGTGGCCTCGTTACTTCACTCCGTCTATCCTTTCTCTGCCATTTTCTTCCTTTCCTTGTTCCCCCCTATGCCCTCATAGTAAATAGGTGTGTGCAAAAGTGTTTTGTCTTTCTCTTGAAATGACACAAAATGGCATTCTGTCTTTGTCTTCAAATGACACAGAAAATGGCATGGCATCATGTGTAGGCGAGCTGCTCTCTAGACAGACTTCCATATGCTCCATGCTCTCTGTGCAAGCTAGCGACTGTAAAAATGCTTGCATATCGTTTATCTGTACAGGCATGGTTCGGCGATGGAGTGAGAGAGAGTGAGTGTGCCTTTCACTGCCATGTCAGGTGAGCTGCCAATAGTGGTATCTCATCTGAGTGTGTTGGTGAATCCAGGCTGATCCTACTGCGAAGATATGTAGCAATCTTTCCATCCTAGCAGCTTGTCCACCATTTCTGGTAGGATGTGGTTTTCTGTCTGTGTTGACATCCTGCTGCCTATTTATACCCCTTCATCCCCCCCCCCCCCCCCCCCCCCCCCCGGGTCTCCTCTTGACGGTTCTAATCGGTATCCCATCCCAGTGCAGTTGTTATGAGGCAGAAGATCAATGCTATTTCTTTCGTCTCTATAGGTCAAGCGCTGTGAAAGTTGCGAGGCGTTTTCTTGCGTTAACGGCTGCATTGGAACACAGTAGCTGGGAACAATCCTGGTGGTTTAACGTGGAGTCTACGGATGTGGAGCAGCGGCTAGGCACACACTAGTGCTAGACTCCTGACATTCAGACCCAGGACCTTTGTGGTATTTGGTCACATGTAAGGTCCGTAAATTAGATTCACTTGTCTGTTCAGTCTCCTGTCGTTTCCCGGACAGTGAAGCGTTAATAACCCTTAAGCGACCAGCCTTTGAACAAGGTGTCTGTGTCGAAAACACACCACAAGGTCCGTTTGAATTTTCGATCCAGCAATGACAGTTCATGCAACAAAATCCCACGTCAGCAGCGGCTCGGAGAGGGTACTGGTCGTTTAAGCTCTGAGTTTGTGGACTTTATTATGAAAAAAACAGTGTTTAATACTGTTTATCCTTCTATCTGAACCTGGGATGTTACCTACCTTGACAATGAAGATGAAGGCCAGATCGTTTGGGACTAAACTGGCCTCACAAACGGCAGGTATGACACAAGGTTAGAACGGATCGAAGACCGTTGGCGAATGGTACACTACCAGAGTAGTCTAGAATGCAACTTTCAGGACTGTCTGCGGAGTGGAAAAGGTCTAATTGCTACTGCCGCAGCTTTTGTTCTCTTGCTTGTTCACTCCCTCGCTCCCTCCAAGCAGGTGATATGTTTCGATTCCCGTTATCTGCAATTGCTGTTGATTCGATGCAAAAAGGAATTTGCTCAGCCAGGCTCTGGACCAGAGTGCACAGCCTGGAAACCTTGTTGTGGGTTGCCTCTCTAGGACGAGGTTCAGCGCTGGAAGCGGTGAGGAATGCTTCGCTTTAGGTATAGATGGCTCGGTAATAGTTCCTATGTACAGAAGGGGTTTCGAACCAGGGCTTGAGCCACAGGATAGAACCCAGGCATGCACACTGATTAAGAGTAGAGCTAGGCGTTAGTTGGAACATGGCTGGAGAGTGGCAATATTCAGGGTGTACAATGATGACGACTGGTTCACGTACAGAATTTGATCGTTCGGTAGGTCGTGTTGTACATCATTAGTGCTGTACTGAGAATTTGAGCTGAGAAGGGGGTACGGACTCATGCCCGCCTATTCCAGGAGCCCATATTTCGATATAATAGAACAAGGAGTTATTTGGTTGGAGCATGTTGGTAATCAGACCTCTTGAAGAAGGGTAAGCGAAGACAACCCAACTAGGTATGCCAGAATCAGAAGGACAAGAATCTTTGAAATGTCTTACTGACAGTGTGCGAAGGAGGGGGTGGGGTCCTCTGCTTTCTGATGAGAGGATAGTGCCTCTGTAAGGGTTGCCAAAGAAAGTTGAGACAATGCGAACGAGGGTGTGCCTAGCTTCCTCTCACGCCTGACCGCACTCATATCCCCATCGGGTCTCCTAGGTCAGCAGCCTCTGGTCTTAGGAATAGGTGAGCAGCCTCTAGTCAAAGCAATAGGTGAACGCCTCTGTGTCTGAAGGAAGAATGTAGGTAAAGGAAGTCGCCGTTCAAGTCGGATTAAAAAGAGGGTGTGCCCAGCTTGAGAGATGTTGAAAGTGAAGAGTATGACTGTGGCTTTCAGTGATAGTGGTATGTTTGACTGAACGGCAAGTGCTCGACCAACAGTCGGCCTAGAGTGTGGCTGGGGGGTGGTCTGTGCACTGAGGTTTTCATTTGTTTCTCCTTTGATGGAATTATTGAAGCGGACTTTGCATTCGTGTGAGGCAATGGCAGTATTGGCAATGAAAGTCAGGGGTACTTTCACGTATCGAAAATAGAGTTGTGTGTGTTTGTGCTCTAGACGCAACTGCTCGTGGCTAAATATGTGCTGTTCTGCAATAGTGTGGCAAAGAGCACTGGTTGTTGTGCTACTGTGGGCAATTAAGGTGCAACTGATCTTCTTCCTGGCCTTGGACACATAAACATACACACACCCCACAAATGGTTCCTTGCGTCTGTGTAATTCCTTATCAGGCTGGCTGACAATTAGTGTTGTCATGCTGATGTGGCAAATAATATAAATACAACAGGCAACTCACTACCTGGTCTTCTCTGTGTACACCTGTTTTACGCTGGACAGTATTGAATTCGATCGAGATGATGAGCTGTTTGCTACTGCCGGTGTCTCTCGAAGAATCAAGGTGTTCGAGTTCGCCACGGTATGGGCGGATCATTGCCGTGCTTGTTTCTGAATGCTTTGAAGTGGCCATGGTGTTCTTTCTCCTGGGTTTGATGTCATTTCTGTCAAGCAGGGCTTTTGCTGGGCTGATTCCTTCTGGTTCTTGTGCTCCTCCTTACCCCTGCAGTGAGTACTCTGTTCGTCCTCCTCCAGTCTCTGAACTATGTCGCAATGATCTCAAAGATGCTCTGTTCAGAAACAAAGTGTACGTGTCGTGGTAACAAGGAAGGAGGGATGTTAACCTGTTGATGCCTATGCCCTGAGCTTTGTATAGGTCTCTGACTACATGAGGTCCGATGTCGGAGTGTATGTGGGTCTTTGCTGTGAGAAGCCCTTACCTGTCATAGGGGTTGTGTACGCTGTGTTTATGAGGGACGTGGGGAACAAGTTAATCGCAAGGTAAGTGTAGCAGTACAGGGTGTACCTTGGGGCTGCAGTGCGCTGCACACATAGTGTGTGGTTTGTAGGGTCTAAAGTTCTCTGAACTACACTCTCCCTGGACCTGCTAAGCTTAAAGAGACCCTGTACCGTCCCGGTTTCTGGCTCTTCTTGAGGGGGAAATCTGGACTTTCTGTAGGTACTTGTTTGTGAAAAGGGAGGCCCATCTATGTAGCGATGGCTTAACCGTCGGAAAACCGTGGATACATGAACTTCGACTTTGACTTCATAGTAACGGGAAGTCCGAGAGGGTGGGATGCCTTGGCGTTGAGAAGTGTCGTTTGTAGACATAGTAGTGGGAAGTCCGAGAGAGTGGGATCCCTTGGCGTTGAAAAGTGTCGTTCAAGTCTGGCCTGTGTCTCTAACGGGGGAAATAAAAACCTTCAATTTTTTCATGCTGTCGACAACCAATAGAAGCCAACAGGACTCCTGAACTGCAGGCAGAATCCTAAGGATGCCTTGCTGACCATATTTGTAGCTGCTGGATGTAAGCCAACAGTAAGAAGTGTCTAGTCTATTCGCGACACTGTTGGAGTTGCTAGCCAATTGTGTAGAGAGCACAGAATGCTTTACAGTGGCTGAGGTGGTTTGATTCTCTCTAAAAATGGTAAGTGGTAGAGCAACCTGGCGCTACCAATAATGCTGGCAAGTGCCAGTGTCTCTTGCCGCTAACTCTCCTTACTCTCCTTCAGTCTTTCCTTATCTCCATCTCTCCTTCTTTCCCTCCCCCACTCATCACTGTCTCCAACCCTTCTCTGCTAGGAAATAAGAGAACATCTGCATGTGGCTGAAAGGTAGACGCGTGGAACTGTCAATAGATAGGTCAGGAGTTCGAGTCCTGATGGCCTCAAAGATGTTAGGGCTAGTTCTTCTTGGGTGGGAAAAGAGGCAGGGTATGTATGGTTGGGGCTCCATGTAGGTGATTAGTGTGGYGTTTGGAGGGCCACCTGGGGTGAGAGCTGCCAGATAGGTGAGGAGTTCGAGTCCTGACGACGTCAAAGATGTTAGGGCTAGTTCTTTTTGGGTGGGAAAAGAGGCAGGGTATGTATGGTTGGGGCTCCGTGCAGGTGATTATTGTGGCGTTTGGAGGGCCACCTGGGGTGAGAGCTGCCAGGTATTTCGAACGAGGGCCCCGGACTTGTATTATGTTGGTGGTGTCCTACCTATTTTGTCATCATCCATGATGTGAATCCTTTTTTTTTTTTTTTTTTTTTTTTTTGAAGACACCATGATGTGATTCCTTCTGTAGGCGAACTGGTACTTTGGAGCTTGGAAGACATCTTACAAGAATCCTCTACTCTGGTTGGGATGCGTGATCTCTCCAAGGGCCCATGAGCTGGCATCAGATTTACTGGGTTCCCCAACATGCAGCCAGTTGTGTAGGGACGAATGCTGTGCTCCTTAGTGAGATAGAGAGTCTTTCTACTCTAAGCTGGAAGCTGTAGGCATCGTTGATATAGGCACCGACGCTATGTTCAGGTGAAAAGGGAGCACGGGTTTCTCCGTTGGCTGGAAGCTTACATTGCATCGCTCTGCTGTCACTCTAATGGTTTGCTAAATCACGGGTGTTAAGTTATTTCTCTTGGGTTTCTCGAGCGTTATAGAAAAAGTGGCATGCTCTGCGACTCAAAAGTCTCCGTCTGGCTGTCTTCCTGACTACTATCCATTCGCATTCCTATTCTGTTGCCGAGGTCGAGTCCGAGTCCCTCCGCAGAGTCAGCATGAGTTGAGTCATTTTCTTCCAGTGTTTCTCAGGTTTGTTCATGTTCGGGAAAATCAGCAGTGCTTTACAAAGGTAACCCTGAGTACAGTCTTAATCAGTGGCATGCGGTTGGCCTGAACTGCTGTACGGATTGTCATCTGGAAATATCTGAGCTGTACGGCCGTGAACGTGTTTGAACATGATCACACTTTTCCGTGACTGATGGCAGCATCTGCTGGACGATGGTGGTTGCAGCTGCAGAAAGCAGTGAATAATTAACGAGAAATTCGGTTGGATTCCGAATCACTTTATTTGAGTCTATTGTATAGCTGTATGGAGAAAAGTTTTGTTTTCTCAGCTGTCTGTCAGTTCTCTCCATAACCACAACATCTCAGAGCTCAGCTTGTGTTTTCATTCCCTGGATTACTGTGAGTGCAGTGGGCCAAACATGTTTAGAATAATGTAACATACAGTGGAAGACTTTATGCATTCTGGTACATGACACAGTGTGGGCTGCTTCGTTTACCACGTTTACCAGTTCATGAACAGTCACGACGTAGTGGCAGCTATTTCAACAACCCGATGAACAATCGGTGGATGTCACATATCCATACACAACACCAATGCCTGTACCTGACACCAGCACATACTAACTCGCTCAGCTGTGGGAAGAGAGAGAGAGAGAGAGAGAGAGAGAGAGAGAGGGGGGGGCGGGGGGGGGGGGGAGAGGGAGAGAAGAGTTGCAGCTTCAGGCTACCATGCATCTTTCATCACGAGAGACGATATTGCACAAGGTAGTGAACTGCTGTAAGTGAAGCCTACCAGAAGGGCAAGCATATTGCCGACTCTTGAGCATGGCAAGTCATTGATGATGTCACTAATGAACAACTGTTGACTTCTGGTGTGTCGTTTTCCCTATGCTTTGTGTGTTTTTTGTTTCTTTCCAGGTAGTGAACGAGCTTGCGGACGTGCATTGCCCTGTTGTGGACATGTCAACAAGGTCAAAACTGAGTTGCCTCAGCTGGAACAAGTACATCAAGTCACATATAGCAAGCAGCGACTATGAAGGGATTGTAACTATCTGGGATGTTAACACATGCTCGGTGAGTTGTGGCCATCGATGGGCCAAGGGATTTGTCCAATACGAACTTAGGATGGCGAGGAAAAAAAAAAAAAAAAAAAAAAAAAAAAAAAAAAAAAAAAAAAAAAAAAAAAAAAAAAAAAAAAAAAAAAAAAAAAAAAAAAAAAAAAACAGACTCAAGCAATTGAGCATTGATGTACAAGGGATCTGCCGAATACGGACTTAAAAAGGCAAAAAAGGAACAGAATGTACTATGTAGCAGTCAATGTATGAAAAATAACAGCCTGTGCTAGACAAGTCACAATTGTTTGTTCTGAAAAGTTGAAAACGAAATTCAGGGCATGGTATGCATTTCAAAATTCAAATTTCAAAAGCAATAATTTGTATGGTCTTATGCGAAAACTCTCTTTAAATTTTAAAACTAAAAATATAACAATCTACACTGAAGAAACTCTCTTAAAACAAGGCTGGACCGGCAACCGGCCGGTTCACTTCCCCAGTCCACCTGGTGCCGGGCCAGCTCAGGGGGGGGTAGTATTGGGATGTTCAGGAAGGTGTGGCTCTCAGGGGGAGGGGTCGAGTAACCAAGGTTGCTTGTCTGACCCCCTATGGCCCAGAAATTTGAATTCGGCTCCACAGGATGTTGTGGATTATACCATCAGTTGCCGGCACCTCAGAAGCTGGACGAGATATGTCGAGAGATCATCCTTGCCAAAACTTGCAGCTCTTCCAGAGTATTGCTCGACGTTCAAAAAGTTATGGGTTCAGGTTTCAGCTGTGGAGGCAGAGCATTTTGTGTATGTTTTTTTCTACATACGGTGGGTCATCAGTCTGTAAGGTTCTTGCCTGGCAGTCTGTCCAGATACATGTAGTGTTGTGGAGTGAGGCCCATTCTTGGGCTTGCACCTCGGACATCAGTGTTACTCTGACTTCACGAGCCTCGACCCGAACCCATAACCTTTTCCCCAGACCATAGGGACGTTGCAGAAGCATATAATCTCAGCGAAGCCACCTCACAGGTGTGCAATGACTTGCTGTTTGCTGCTGCTGGTGATCTGTCGACTCGAGGCTGTACCATAGGTAGGCTAGATTCGTAATTTTGTTTGGCCGATGGCTAACCGAGTGACCTACCTGTAGGGAAAATTCGTGAGGGACATATCTGTAAATTCCTGGAAATACAGGCCCGTACTAACTGAAGTTTTTTACAGCCACCCTAACTGCGAATAGCGGGCCCGGGCTACCCCTAGGACAGACAGGCCCTAAAGGCCTATGCCGAGAGACGGTCTTATAGCCTATAGCCGGGCAGGTAGAGGCCGAGAGGCCGAAACGGAAACGGCACCGGTCGGTCCAGTCAGTCCGGTCTAGGTCGTGTCTAGGCTAGTGTAGGCTATAGATAGATTGTAGACATCGGTTCAGGGCTTTTGGCAGTTGGTACCACGTACGTCGCTGCTGTGCAACACATGAACTGCAAGTGGTGACAGCTTCAAAGTTGGAGAAGACGGACATAGCTGGACCTGCGGAGTGTCGGCCATAGCTGGGACCGGCGCTGGACTCTGACAGCACGCGGGGCTGTTCAGAGGTCTGAGCTATCTGGAGTCTGCTGGAGGCGAGAGAAGTTGGTGCCCTGCTGAACCGTCCTCAGGAGTAGGGTGTCAGAGTGGGTGGCGCTGCAGCCATAGCTGCAGCTTGTCTTCCTCAGGGATCATCTTTGTCAGGAGTGGTGGCGCTGCTACAGACTTCCATCCGGGAAGTCTTCTGGCACTTCATCATCATCAGATACTGTGGCGCTGGTCTTCTTCTTCATCCTCTGAGAGGCGCTTGGCCTCAGAGGCCTGTTTCAGGGTGGCGTTTCCCTCTGGAGGCAGTATATGGGTGGCGCTTGATGTTTCAGGGGCTCAGGGGTAGTAATAGCGGTTACTCAGGGTTGGGGAGTGAAGTGCTGCTCATTTCTGAGCAGCGCACCATGGTACCGGGGTCATTCTGACATTTCGAGACTCAGTGTGGATACTGTGTGCAGACTATCTTTGCTTCATTGTTTTCTGGATGTGATCTACTCGGCTTTTCTTTGTGACTGGTTGTGAGGATTCTGTGGAGATGAATGAAATCAAGTATTTCTGAAACATCTGGAGCCAGTCAGTTCTATACTGAAGAAACTCTCTTCAGATTGGATGCAAAACTGATGGGGCTTGCTAAGTTGGAACACCCATGAACTGTTGAAATGCAGACCTGAGTTTTCTACACGCTTGTTGGTAGTTACTACCGTCTTCACCTGAATAGAACGTCCGGTTATTATCGCTGCATCTGGACCGAAAGTTGTGCCAAATACAGCTATAATGACCCGGCGTTCTATTCGGGTGAAGACGGTGGTTCGTTTTTAAGTGCTCTGAACAAGTTAAAATTGTATAAGCGATGTTCGATCAGCAGGAAACCCAAAAAAAAGTACGGCCACTAATGCGCCCTAGCCAGCGACCGAGCTGTTTGGGATCCACAGAGACTTAAATACTTCATGCAACACTGAAATATCTGGGGCCGGTCAGTTCTACGATGATTTCTCAAGGCCATCCCCCTTTAGAAAAAAATAAAAAATATGGGATACCACACCGGGTGCAGAGGCACCACATCTGCCCTGCCCATGTCAGGTTGCAGGTTGTCTCACAACTTCACAAGTAAAAAAAAAGAAAAGGATTGTTTGCTAATCTAAAAAATACACGTGTAGAATTGCAACGTGAACTTCTGGCTGATGGTTACTTCATAGTTCCTTGAAACGATTTCACGCTGCACACAAGCTCGAGTCCCACGTCCCAGTCCCAGGTCTCAGTCCTCAAGTCCCAGTCCATGTTCCATCAGTGGTTCCAGCCACATGTACAGCACTCGCGAATACTCTGAAAAGAATAATTTACTAATTTAGTCATGGTTGCATCCCTGCCGACTGCCGACTATACACCCCTCCCCCATCCCCAAAAATTTATCAGCGGATTTGGGCTGTACTCAGCAAGCGCAGTACAGCTTCCACCGCAGATCTGAAAAAAAATTAGTGGACGGTTGTTTTCTGACTAGGGGGTATAGGGGTGGTATAGGGGGTACTGGGGGGGGGGGTAAGGGTTGGTTGGGGGGGGGTATGAGTGTGTTGGGGGGCGGTTTGTGGGTGTTGGGGGGGTGTATGGGGGTATTTGGGGCTGGTATGGGGGTGTTCGTGGGGTTGTTAGGGGTTCTGGACCCATATATCCTCTTCTCTCTCTCTGCCTACGGTTTACCGAGCAGTTCTGTTTGTGACGATATTTGTATATATATATATATATTGCAGGGTGTGGACGACCCCCGACCAGTAGGTGCCGACCAGCTGACCGGTCAAGGGTCGCTGACGGTCGGGTGTGCAACACTGAATTTAGTAATTTTCGTTTGTGCCATGGTTGCAGAGCTCATGGCAGGCTTGCTTGTTAAGGACATCGCGGTAGGAAGTACCTAGAGGATAACGGTTATGGGTTGAGGAGTCTGTCTTTAGAAGGCACCACAGATTTCTGCCCTGGTCACCAGAGTCGTGAGGCCAGGTGTCAGTCGGTCCAAGCAGCCAGATCCAAGGAGAGTCGGTAAGCTTCCAGAAGCATCAAATAAAGGCAAGGTGACCAACCCATAACCAACAAAAGATGTCTGGAAGGCGGATGAGCAAGTACAAGAGTCCAGCAGAACCAATAGGCAGGGTGCATCTGTTCATTTGTGCAAGTTGTTGAAGCGCTGCTGGTTGCTTGTGCGATAGTACGACGTGGATGGAGGATTGGCGCTGGAGGAGCAAGCACCCTAGGGGGGCCATGCGGTTCTTCTCTGTATCGTTCCAATTTTAACAGATGTCCTGAAGAGGGGGGGGGGGGCGAACGGAGATTTCTGACTCAATTTCTGAATAGTAAGATAAAAAGAAATGCCTCATTAATAGTCATTATTAAAAAAACAAATGCTTGTTACGATCCTGGCCATTGAAATTTCTGGGCCATAGGGGAGAAGATGTCAAGGAGAGGTCACCACCTAGTGTTCACACCAGCGTCCTACATGGTTGCGGCAGAAAGCAACATGCGGGTTTGTGTGAGGAGACTGTGTGCTTTTAGTGTGAGAGTAGAAGTGAGGTGATGATCGTTGCGAGTGTCCTTGCTTCAGGTCTTTACACATTTCGTTCTGTCGCTCAAATTGCTGTATAACTGGCCATGCTTGTCATGGGCCTACTCGTTGCCGACTACGTGCAGCGAGTTAAGTTTGCTGTTCATATCAGTTCTATCTGCTTCTGTTATTCTCTTTCTATGTCACTCAGGAGCTAAGAATGTGGTATATGGGATGCTGGACCTGGTTTCCACCAGGTGTTGCTCCCCACCAATAGACTGGAGCCACAGGCAGGTGGTTGCTAGGGGAAGATGCTCATATCACCCACCAGTAGCACAGCCTGTCAATGTTGTTTCCCCGCCCCCCCCAAAAAAAAAGGAGCTAAGTATGTGCCTTACATTTTATTGCTTTGCTCGTATTGTGTTGCAGAGCATTAACGAGTATGAGGAGCATGAGAAGAGGGCTTGGAGTGTAGACTTCTCGAGAACAGAACCAACAAACCTTGTATCGGGGAGTGATGATGGGAAGGTGAGGGGCAAATTCAAATTTCCTCGCCAGCTATCGTCCTTTTTTTTTTTTTTTTTTTTTTCCCCCAATGTGGACCATTGCTTGATTTACATGCGGCATTCTCGCGCAGGGACCATGCAAGTCTTCTCTGTATCGTTTCAGTTTTAACTTTCAACATATGTCCTCGAGGGCAGGACTCTTCTGTCCTCTCACCCAAATATCTACAGATCCTTCCTTGCCTGCATCTCTCTTGAAGGGGAAGAACATGATTTGGTGCGAAAGCTTTCCCGGTGTTTCCACCTTTTGTCAAAAATGACAGGTAAAGCTGGGAAGCTGTAAACATCGATAGAATCATGCTTAATGATTGCTTGCAAGTCTGGCACACAGCACTTTTTTTTTTTTCCTTTGGATTCTCGCAGAGGAACTTGGTTGCTGGACTCTCACAACAGCGTGATCTCTCCTTTTTTTTTTTTTTTTTTCCATTTATCGTCGTAGCTTGGTTTGTTCCGTTGTGTGTCTCACCGTGATTCGCATTGCACACTTTATTTTTTGCCTACCCTGCCTGTATACTAGTGTATACACTGTATAGGCTTTTGCGTGGCACGGCTTGCATGGCTCGTTCTGTGTGCTGTCAACACCCTTGTTTCATCCTGCAGATGATGATTGGATGGCAGTTTTGTCGTCGATGCCTGTGGTTTTCTGTTTTCCGCAGGTGAAAGTTTGGTGCACGAGGCAGGAAAACAGTGTGATCAACATTGACGTGAGAGCGAATATCTGCTGCGTCAAGTACAACCCAGGTTCGAGCAACTTCGTTGCGGTGAGCACTTTTCGCAGAGCCTGGCTGTTATCGAGGACCTGTCCCGATGCTCTCCCTGCCTCGTAACGGTCATGTTGTGTTCACCTAGGTACTTGCACTTGTCAAAGGAGTTTGACATGCAGCCCCTACCAGACGGCATTTGCGAGAGAATTCGGAATGGCTTCTGTGTGTGTTTTGATTGGAATCCCTAATCGAAGATATGCTCGATACGAAAACGGAAAACCGGAAGATTTCCTTCGATTTTGATTCTTTTTTCGTTGCGTGGGGGCCATGCAGTTCTTCTCTGTATCGTTCCAATTTTAACAGATGTCCCGAAGTGGGGGGGGGGCGGAGAAGCGGAAGATTTCTGACTTATGTCTCTGATAGAAGCTTCTGAATAGTAAGCTAAAAAGGAATGCTTGTTTATTATTAAAAAAAACAAATGCTTGTTACGATCCTGGCTATCTCAAAGTGCGTAAAACAAAGAAAGACATTGCCGCTCAAGTGCAACTGAAACGAAAGAACTTGGAAAGAGAAAGGGAGAAGAAATAGGAATGGAAGAAGTGGAAGAAGTGGAAGAAGATGTAAACCATTGAAGACCTATGTCAAATCCCCCTACAACTCACGATCACCTTCAACCTTCTTATCGACCCCAACTACTCCTTTTCAATAAATAATAATAATAATAATAATAATAATAATAATAACAGCAATGAAAGAAAGAACGAGAACCAGTGTCCGGATCTCCCTCTTGCTGCCAGCAACTAATGAAGTCCAACATAGCCATCATCTACACCTTCCTACGTTGGCAAAGTGGATGGCTGTGGCGGACTAGCAGAGCCCTGCTCCAATGATCGAAGGACAAAGCAAAGACAGTGTTTCCCTCCTATACAGGCCGCCATGCCCAACACTGCCCCAAGTCTCCATTGATGAAGCCAACCCCCTTGGGTCTTCCAGGTGCAGCGCCAACCAAGAAGAGATGAAGATGCAGACCACCATAGCCAGGTAAGCACCCCCGCCACTCTCCTCGTCCTCCTACACCCCAGAGTGTTCCTTCCTGGTCCACTCCACCATTACTGAGTGGAGGGCCAGGCCGCGTTCTTCTTACCTAGTGGTGGACACACCAAGCGCTCGCTCCAGCAGCGTGATGCCGAACTCGCACACCACAAAATGAGGAAGAGCTCATTGCTCTTCCCAAATATACACCGGGCAGTTGCCTCCTTGAGCGGTGACTCTCTGGGCCGCTCAGCCTCCCAAGCTACTGGCAGCGACCTCCTTTCGGAGGCAAACATCATTTTTGCAGGTCTGATATCCTTCGCTACAGGCTCTATACGCAGACTACCGGACTGGCACCCCTACACCGAAGCCTACAGGGCTCRGAAATTCCTTCGGCCTCGGAACATACTAACTTGTTGTCTTCTGCTTACCTACCCTCTACTAAGTGTTTTCCACTGCAACCCACAAAAGCACGGCCACAGGTAAGTATTAGGCCCCAGGCCCCAGGGTCATGYGGAACAAGTACCCTGGCGGGCCACGCACACCCCCAAGCAATCATGCAAGCAGACAAACACACGGAAACGCGGTAAGCACGCACAAACACGGACTTAGAAATGCCAGCAGAATGCAGGATCTCCGCAAGTCACACAATCCAACGGCAATACTGAGAAAATAGCAGAGTTCTCAGTGTGTGGTTTGGCAGGTCATTGCATGCTTTATACAAAATTTGATAATCTGGATTTGGTTACGATCCTGGCCAATTTCGAAGTGCAAATTCACGAGAAAGTACAATGCCGTTCAATTGCAAAAGATTGTAAAGAAATGAATGAACTTGAGAGGAGAGAGAGGGAAAGAAGAAAAAGAAGAAGAAGAAGATGAACGAAAGAAGAARAAAAAWARWARAAAARAAGRAGATGTACACCAGCAAAAGACCAACGATAATTCCCCCTTCTTCTCGCCAACGAACTCCTCCTTATTATCTCCTCCTCTCTTRTTGCAATCATACTCGACTTATTCACACTTCATCATGCTTGCAAACAGCGATACAGMGAACTGGCGACATGYGCCCACACAGTACCCAAAGATATCGTAACCAGATATGAGTTCTCTTCCAACTGGCTATGGCGACTGTGCGCCCATACAACTCACTGTTCACACTCGAGATCACCCTGGATGTCCCACACGCGACACTCAATGTTCATACCCAACACACACACAGTACACACACTCTGCACTCTACACTGAGCTATGGCAGCTATGGCTGCCACTACCTATCGCTATGACTACAGTGCTTCACTCTTGCCCCCTTCGTCTTCGGGCCTCCAGCAGACCTCCTTGCACTAGACGCTGTGGCAGCGCTACCGCATGGCTTCTGCCTGAATGAATGAATGGCTGGACGCAGCCTCTTGATTTATACTTCTGCGCTGCGTTGGTCTGCCCTGTATCCCTGGCCCATGGTGCACACAGTCCCCCCCGTGGTACTTGCTGGACCGGACTGGTACTTTCTAGACTCTCCCTTGACTGCATGGCGACGACCCTACGATGCAGTGCAGTTGCACTGGGGTCCTGCTGTTTGACCTCGCCACTTGTCCTCGTCTAC